CAGTCTTATCCATACTAAATCCTAATACTAGTCATTGGGACATAAACTAGATCCAGAATTCCAGCTTCTTCAAAATATCTAGCTATGTTTTAGTTTTCTCCTGTCATTGCAATTAAAATTTTACTATTTCTAGTTCTCATATTCAACCATGCATTCTTAATCTCATCAAGTTTGTCTTCCAGAATGGAAAATCCAACTCCAGATGTTGCTATATAACCTAATAACACAATTTGTTTTATCTTGCCTAGAAGCCACAAAACTGCAAATAGTAATAGAAATGAAACCCAGAATAGAAGCGCCAACCTTCCGAGGCCCTCTCAACTGACCAGTGATGGAGACTTAGCTGCACCCTTTACTGCACCCCCTTCTCAGCACGAAGCAGCCAGAGTGGTCATCGCCCCTTTTCCCTAGCAGCAGCTAGAGTCTCTATCTGTAGAGGGGAGAATGAGACAGGGACCCATAGGCTTAGACAGAATAAAGTGAGAGCCTCTGAAGAAAGCAAGGCAGGATATTTGCAACCAGAGCAACATAACTATATGCTGGAAACCCCCCTCCTACTAAAACTATGTTGAACATAAAGCTCTAGAATCATTCTTCAGTGAGATCAGTTCATGTTCCCCAGATAAAGAAGAGTAGCACATGTTTTATTATGCTAATCATTTGTAATAGTGTATAAGATTTACTTTAGCATACTAAAAAGCCCAGGCCTATGTGCTGTCTTTCCTCCTTCTGATCTAAGTAATTTTGCAAGCTGAGCAACTGACTTAGCATGCAGACCCAGCTGTAGATGGCATAGTAAAAGGCAGGATTCTTTAGCAAATATACAATATCTCAGCCCACCTTAGAGGCTGGGCACGCAGTCTTTTAATGTGTGCCTGGACCAAGGCACCAGTGTCCCAGAGAGAAATCAAGGCAGGAGATTACCTTTAATCAAGGACCCCTTGCCATCCTACTCCTTTTACTAACCCTTAGGCCCTGTATCATCAACAGGCTGGTCCAGATTGTCAGAGACCACATGGGGGCCGTCCAACTGATAGTCCTCCTTGCTCAATACCAGCCCCTAGTGATCTTGTTACTCTTGCTTACCTGATAACTTATTAAAAATAGAGTTAATACAGTCCAGCTAATGGTGCTAAGACAACAGTATCAGCCTTTATCTCCTTACAACTGCAAGACCTTATTAGACCCATGATTGGGTCCCTTAGGATCCAGAGAAAGGGGGGAATGAAAGGGCAAGCTCCCAGATTCTATTTTAGCGGATTGAGACCCGGATCCTATTTCACCCAATCGGAACTTGGTCTCTCTCCCCTCCAGTCAGCAAGAAGTACACCCACCACCCCTAGACCCTGCCAATTGACCAAAGCCATGACTTATCACCCACCAACTACCCCCAGGCCCAGCCAATCAGCCAGGGCCATGGCCATCACCCCACAAACCGCCCTGGAAACCCATAAAACCTTTGTTCTGGGGAAAACACACTCTTTCTCTGGCATCTTCCCACTGCGTTGGTGTAGATGAGAGATTGAGCTTGAGCTAGCTCGAATAAAGGCTCTTTGCTTTTGCATCGGTGTTGGCTCCTTGGTGGTCTTCTGGGATTTGCGACTTTGGGCACAATAGTGACAAATGCACTCACTGGTCCATACTTCGTCTAGAAGAACAGCAAAGGGAGGCTTAAATGGCAGACTTGCAGAATTGGGTATCTGGTGAGCAGGCACATCGAGCGTGGTTGCAACAGCAATTTATTCCTTAGCACCTGAATCCCTCCCCTGGTTCCTCATTGGCTGAGTACTACAGGTTTCACATTCTTTCCCAGATATTGCCTAAGCAAGTTATATATTAGGCTTTTTTTTAGATTTGTCTTAATTTTTTTTGCTGGTTTAAAACTTTATCTGCATTTTTTTGAAGTGGCGCAGTCTGCTCTTATTGTCTTTATTTCCCTCCCCCTCCAAGCCACAGTAAATCCCTGGTACATGTTCTCACATGTACGCTTCTTGTTAATACCTTTTTGTTTAAATGTTAATTCAATTGGGAATAAATCACATTTAGTTTATGACATTTCTGACAGCTGTTAAATCTTTTAGAAGTCCCCCAGTTTTGCCTTTTTCAAGTATATTCATATAATGAAAATTACTCAGCAATAAAACAAAATGATCCATTGATAATATGTGGCAATGTAGATTAATCTCAAAAACACTGTTGATTGAAAAATCAGACACAAAAATGAACATTCTGTGTGATTATATGAATTTCAAGAACAGCAAAGTTAATGGTTATGGAACACTGTTGCTTGGGACAGGGTGTATGGAATTAATTAGAAAGAAACTCTCTAGGGTGACAGAAATCACCTGTATCTTGATTGCAGTGGTGATCACATGGATATCAGAACTCATCTAACTATATTTTGTAGGTCTATGCACTTAAATGTGTGTATATTTCAAGAAGTCACATGAGATAATTAACTGTAGTTATGTTGGTAATTTTATATGTGGTTATATTAGGGGGGCATTGTGTATTATCCTTGCTACTTGTTTCCACTGCAACAAAGAATTGAACAGCAGAGACACAAAAGTGAAGCACAGTAAAAGTTTTATTTAAAGTTACTTAAACACAGAAACAGTGTAGGTGATCTCAGGGAGGAGTGCCACCCTGAAACATTGGAGAAAAAGTCTACACACTTATAGAGTGCAGGAAACTTCAGAGAAAGAAGAGCACTGAAAGATTGGGGGTTCACCATTTCAAGGATTTTTCAGGAATGTGACCAAGGGCTGGGGATGCAGACTTGTTAAGTGGTCTTAAGATAATTATCTTTGATGAGACATTAAGATTTTTTTATCAGTTGTGGGTAAAATTGTAGTATTTACAGAATATCTCACCTGACTTCAGTGCATCTGCATATCAACAGGCATTCCTCAGGGGGGGAGATAATTTCATCTCCAAATCAATGGGTAATTACCTGTGCAACCCAGAGATTATCTGAACTTGAGAGTTTAAAGGGAGGTCTTCCTTGCTTCTGCCGGACCAGGAAAGAGACGGCCCCAGATTGCGGTTTCTAAGCAATAAACAGGTTTTAAACTTTATTTCTCCCTTTGACTGATTTTGGTTTTAGAGGTATTTAGCCCCAGAATTTCCTCTCCCTGGAGATACATCTGGCAGTAGTTGGCAGGATCTCTGAATCTGAAATCTGTCAATATGGGTGCAATCTATGGGAGGGCTGCCTGTAGAGATGGTGGGGATGCCCAGTGGATGGAGCAGCAGAGGGTGCAGCTTCACCTGTCAACCCCCCAGCTATGGGGATTCCAATTTGGGAGCCCCTAGTGGGGAATGGGTCTAGGGTAAATCAGCTCCAAAAGGAGTGGGCCTTCCCAGAATTAGGAAAGGATGGAAACACCAGAAGCTTCAGAATTAGTCCACCATGAGTTGGAAGACTGGAGACCCTAAGGGGCTGTATAGAGGCTGGCATCGTAAGGTACTTTTCATCTAGATAGTGGAAAATGTTATACAGGAGAAAGAGAATTATTGAGAGGGTTAGCAAGAGTGGAACATAGGCTGGAGAATGACACACAAAAGCATCACTTGGAGGAGCTGTGTGATAACCTATGAGATACCATTAAGGAAGAGAGACAGTTATGGAAAACGTGGGTCAAGCACCTCGAAGATTAAGCAGCCGCAAGAACGGAGGCCGCAGGAAAAGCTGCATGACAGGAGGCCATGATGAAGGGGAAGGAAAGAGCAGTGCCTTCAGACCCAGAAATAGAGGAGGAGCCGGGGGGAGGGCGCCATGGGCTGTTCTGCTACCTACACCACCACCGAAGGTATCATCCTCTCCTGTTTTAAAGGCCTGCCTGGCTGCAATTAAAAAAATTAAAATGAAACCGCAAGCTCCTCAGGAGGAGAAGCCACCCCCTCCCCACGTTGTGGAGCACTCCATGCTCCAGGCCTATATCCAGGATGAGCTGGTGAACATGAGCTTCCAGTATAGACAGAAGCCATCAAAATCTCTGCCTACATAGCTGTTCCATCTCTGGGATATGGGGTTGGAAATCATTGTTCTGTTGGGTACTGGAGGAATTGGGTATGAAAAATTTCATCTAATATGGACGCCCCCATGGCCCCGATGAGGTGGTGATCACAGTAGGAATGAGAAATCTGGTGCTGTATACAGCTCCCACACATCTCTTTGGGTTCCTCGTGACTACTCTTCCCCCCACGGAGGGCAACAACATAAAAGGGAGGCTACTCGTACTTTAGCAGATCTGAGGGAGGTTGAAACAATAAGGGTACAGAAGGAGGTATGGGCTACGACTGAAAGGAGAGGTGCAAAGGGCCCTGTAAAGGTCGCAAGGACCCAGATGTGGGTTGATTTGATAAAGTCCGGGGTAATGAAAGAAAAACTTGATGAGCAGCCCAATAGAATCTTGTTAGAACTGTGACACCAATTAAAGCCAGAGCAGCAGTTCCAGCCACTGAGGTCCAGGACATGGAAACTGGGGTCAAGGCCTCATGCCTGGCCTGTGTCCCTGTAAAACTTCCTGGGAGACAGTACTCAGGATTCACCTGGGCCCTCACCCCCAAAGGAGGACAGTTTGGCATCGCGATTCAACTGAGAGGGGTTGGGGCCAAGATCCCCACCTTAGGGGAGGTGGTGGAGATTGGAGGCCACATGTAGAATTAGGAATTCATTGGTCCCCTGTGAATGTACAACATGTCCTGGCACTGGTGGACACAGGAGCTGAGTGTTCTCTGATTTGGAGCAACCCTGAGCATTTTCCCGGGTCCCCTGCTGTGATAGATGGCTATGGGGGTAAGGCAATTAGAGTGAAGTAAGCCCAAATCCCATTGGGGATAGGGTGTTTACCCCCAGAGGAGTATACTGTGTACATTTCTCCCATCCCTGGATATATTTTGGGGGTAGACATCCGGTAGTGCCTGTGGTTACAGACCACTGCAGGTGAGTTCAGACTGAGGGTATGTGTGGTAAAGGCAGTTCTGAGGGGACATGCTGAGCACCCACCTGTGGCTCTGCCTGTACCTCGGTGGGTGACAAATATTAAGCAGTATAAATTGCCTGGGAGGCACAAGGAAATTGTAGAAACTCTACAGGAGTTGGAGATGGTGGGCATCATAAAGCCCACCCATAGTCCTTTTAATTCCCCAGGGTGGCCAGTGAAAAGCCAGATGGCTCCTGGCATATGACTGTGGACTACAGGGAATTGAGTAAGTCACACCTCCTTTGCATGGTGCCATGCCCTCTGTAGCAGATATTCTGGACACCCTCATCGTAAACTGGGAATGTATCATTAAG